GCGGCTGAGAATAGGGCCGCCCGCTATTGATTGCGCCGTAGGTTGCGCCCTCGGCGGCAAAGAAGAATACCGCATCCCATTGGTTGCGCCGTCGGTTGCGCCTTCGGCGGCCGAGAATGCAACGGCCGCGTAGCGGGTGCGACCAGTCAGTTGGTCGGTCAGTCAGTCAGTCAGTCAGTCTGCCTGTCTGTCAGTCAGTCGGAATTTACCTCGCGAGAAACACATTCGGGCTACGCTCGAAAAAACGTTTCATTGATGCGTCGGGGATCCTGGGCCCGCAGAATGAAAACATCCAGATGTCGGATGTTGGGTGGGCGGGGGGGGGGGCGGGGCGGGGGGCAAGACGCGTTTTGATTGACGACGCGGCGGATGCATCGACCTCCGCCTTCGGGCGCGGGCGCGTCTCCCTTTCAGAGGCAACGACCGGTGCGGCGCGCAGCCAAAAACGCCATCTTGGGCCGCATCAGCCGTCTCGGAGGCCATTATGGATCGTTCTGGCGCCGTCTTGAAGCCCTGTTTCGGGCCTGTTGGGCAAGATTTGGGCCAACCTGACAACGTTTGGGCCGAAATCCGACGGGCAAAAACGCCATAACTACTGATGAACGTTGGCTGGGATCAGTGGGCGCGGGCCGCTTGGGGGCACCCTGGAGCCCCCCTTGGCCATCTTCGAGGCATCGCGGGTCGTCTTGAGGCCGTCTTTGACCGTCTTGAGGCCCTCTCGGGCCGCGGCGCGGGGGGGCGGGGCCGCGACGACCAAGTGAACGCATGTCTCTGCATCGTGGACAAATTTGTCAACCCCGCGCGTGGGGGCAGTGGGAGACCGTTCGGCCCCGTCGCTCTGACGCGGTAAGCTGGGTGGCTTCGGAAAGAGGCGCCGCGCGAACTTGATTACGTTTCCACCTTACTTTCCTACGGTTCGGATCCGAACAAATACGCGCTCTGCTACGCGCGGCTGCAACGACGAATGGAAACGCTAAAAAATAATACGAAAATATCAGCCTTGCTTCTGCCGGGCGGAAATTTCCGCCCTACTTTTTCGGTTTCTTATATATGGATTTCCGACGCAATTTTAAGTTGGAAAAGAAAAGTCAAAGTAGGGCGGATCCGGAGTCAGGGTGTGCTGGTCGCGCCGGTCGCGCTGGTGCCGGTCGCGCCGATGCCGGTCGCGCCAGCCGCGCCAGTGTGGGTCGC